TCCTCATTGGGATGTGCCGAGGTTGGTGCGTAAACCTGTATGACCTTCAGCGAATACCGTTTGGTGATTCTGAGTATCAGGTACGCGACCCTCGTCGACACACTGCCAATCTTTACAACGTTGTTGACGAGAGACTTGTGGACGATAAATCCGACACCTCCTTGGGACAGATGGTCGCCCTCCCGGTGATAGAACAAGTTGCCGGATTTGAGAATCACCGTGTCCTCCCCCTCTCTTCGGACCTCGGATAATCCTATAATATTCCAGCGCAACTTGTCTATCTCTTCTTCCAGCTCCAGGATCTTCTCGTCAGTCCTCAGGGTCGTGCGTTAAATGTTGCCAGGTCGAGTCGTCGTAGGTGGCAACCGTACCTCCACCGGAGATTCTTAGCACTCCCTGCCCCGCCATTACCATGGTCGCCACCGTAGCCAGGAATAGCGGGGCCGCCGGGGACTGGGGGCCGTCTATTGTGTAATTGTTCATGGGGGTATATTGCCATAGTTGCCACGCTTGGCGAGCGGGTTGGCAACCGCAGTTTTTTTTTGTCGTACAGTTGCTGTTATCAGGAAGATGCTGCTGCCCATCCCCTGCCTGTCTCCCTCTGTCGCCTCTTACGACACCCACGGGAAGATATGGGGTAGTGGATATTCTTAACCGCCACTACACGGCCTGTTCTTAATAATATAGTTAAATAATAAGTCGACTCTACATGCGCTGCCGAATGATTACTGCTAGCTGATATACTGATTACTGCTACTAGATACATGCAGCGTTTACTCGTATTTAACGAGTCATATATTTTTTATTACATTTTTGGTACTAAATGAAATTCCTCAAATTAAGTTTTGAAATAGTTTACACAAGCGCAGAGCGCAGAGCGTGGTAGATTACCGAAATTTTAAACTACCGTCGATAATTTTTACGTGATAGATCCACGCTGCAGCTATATTATGATTGTAGCACGAATGGGTCGACTCGACCGGGGCAGCACCACGCTCTCACAGCGTAAAATAACAGTGTATTGCTACTGCGTTTCATATGGTGAGTGTAGAGAACCGGAGACCCTTATTACCGGAATCGAGGCAATCCATCTTGATCCACAGGGGTGGCAACGTATTTGCATTTTGATCCTAATTGAGGATAAATGTGGATGTCTAAGGGCCACAGCATCCATTTACCATCAGGTGGACTGTGTGCTAGTTTATCACCCAATGCTATAAAAAATAATGTTGTAATATATGTAATAAATTGTGTAATAGTTAGTGTATTTTTAGTTTTCAAAATTAATATTATGTGCCATATCGCTAAAACACACCATAGACAAACATGGTTACATGCTAATTCATTCTTAAAGATATAAATCTCTTATTCATGTGAAGTGTTGCAGTTACGATGCCTTTTTAACTTCCCGCTATGAACATCAATGATTTTCAAAAAATTGGAAAGTTATTGTTTGCAGTTCATTTTCGAAAAATGGAGTTTTCATCATATCTCGGCGTTTCGAGTTTTTTTTTTTTTGGAATTATTATGACACTCTTGTTTTGATCTACTCTATGATTAAATCAGCTCTTTTAATTTAAAAAGACGTCGATTGCTGCAAAGCGCATCGAAATCGGTTGACTCGTTCGTGAGATATGGAAAGAAATCTCGAAAGTGTTTCAAAAGACAGGAGACTTGTACCTCAAACTTTGAGCGCGTCAACAATAAAAATAAGGGAACCCAATAAGAATCCCCAAGTAACTCCTTTAGTGTGTCTAAAGGAGTTACTTGGGGATTCTTTCTCATCAGCGGATCTACGAGTAGAATCGAATATGTCAATCATTTTAACCGACTTCGGAAAAAGGAGGAGGTACTCAATCTTACGGTATTTTTTGTGTGTTACCTCAGAAGTTTTTCTATGTGAACCGATTTTGATGAATCTTTTTTTTTTTAATTGAAAGCTCATGCTTCTTATGTGGTCCCATATAACATTGATCAAGATCTGATTATTTTTGAGTTATACTTAATAATGCTTATTTAATTGACTTCGACCACATTGATAACGTTCTCATTTTATTTCTGAAGTCGGTTGTCAAAATGTTTAATTTTACCACTTTTAATTGACGTTTACTAATTCTGACTGAGTGCTCAGTTGTGACACAAACTGTGGGCGATATTTAAAGTTTATTACAACTGTATTCTTCAACGTATTGTATATGTAGGTACTATATACCGATAAAGATAAAACGACACCCGCTGTCATCTTAATGTATCTGTCGATCATTAAACTCTACGTGTAGCACAGAATAAATAATAGTACTACGTAGTTGTAGCTATAAACCCCACTGCACGGTGCTATACCTAGGGCTTGCAAATATTCGAAATTTTTTGGTATTCGAATATTCGACATTTTTTCGGCTATTATTCGAATTATTCGAATAATTAAAGAAAAACAAAAGCTATTATAATAATCATATTTTTATTGCCATTGTCTTAGTTAGAGTCTAATTTCTCTGAATCAAAACAAAATCATAGTAAAAATTAAAGAACTGCTTGGAATTTCACTGTTATGGCACTAATGCAGTCCTATAAAAACTATAAAAAGTAGGTGCTTAACAAGATAACCACAGCACAATTACACAACAGTCTTATAAATCGAGTTCTGAGTATTGTCATAATATTTATATAATAATAAAATCATTACAAACTTATATATTTCTTACAAAAGTTAAAAGACTTAAAAGAAAGATTTTCAACTGCGATAGAATACAAATAATTAATCAGTATTAGAATTTATGATAGTCAGATCAATGCCACATTGATATTTCAATGTGCAGATCAAATTTGGTAGGCGTTTCTGAGCAATTCTATTCTTCAGAGCTTCGAGTAGCCTGTCACTAATAAATCTGTTCGCCTTTTCAAGTTTAGCAACCATAAATTGAAGGGCTGTTTCCGCAGAATGCAGATTTGAATTTTCTTGGCACAGCGCCTCTACTGTTGCCTTTACAATATTCAAATAAGTGGACGATTCCAGCAGCAAAGCTAGCTCACCTAAACTAAACGTGGTATCTTTAAAATAGGGTCTTTTAATGCCAAAAATCTTGTGATCATATCGGCAAAACTGCGCCACCTGTTTTCATAGTCTAAGATTAAACCCATTTTATTCCGCTCTTCTTGAAGATAAATATCGGGAATCGCTTTTCTGGTGGGTGACTTCCTAAAAAATTTAACTATTTTTCCGCACTTTCTCTATTAAATTTTTAAATTTACATCCCCGTATCTCCGTATCCCCGTAGGTCTCGGCCTATGTTTAGATGTTGCTCAACTGCAAATTCTCCTCCCACACTATCGCTGTTAGAGTCAGTATCCTTATTTGTTTCCTCTTTGCTACCTTCAGATTCTTCTCCTTCTTCTTCTTGCTCATCGTGATCCTTTTTGTATATAGCATCCAGCACTGCACACCATGTGCGAAGCATAACTGACGATACAAAGGCACTTGTCGACTCATAGCACACATCACTCTTGCAGTCACTACGAATGCTATGTCCTCTTCCAAAGATAGATCTTAGGATGCTAACTTGCCCTGCAAAATATTAAGTTATTCCTTTTCTGGATAGTAGATGAGTAGACAAGTAGGCCGTTGGCATAACAAAACTCACTGAAAAAGCCTAAAACCTCAATTATAAAAAACAAAAAATTATAACCACGCTTCGCCGTCGCACGCGCACAAAATGCAAATGGCAGACAAATGCACGAGCAAAGGCGTCAAACTACCAACACCACCGCACTGGAACACCGGCGCGGAGCGCCTTATACTTAATCGAAATATCGTGCGCGAATCTTAAAAGTAATATTTTGTACACATCAATATTCCGAGTTTGGCTTTCAGAAGATGGGTTCAAATATTCGAATATAGCGGATTTAATATTCGAATATTTGGACAGCTATATTATTCGAATTATTCGAATATTCGAATGCAAGGCCTAGCTATACCTACCTACAACCCTTGTTTGATTGTTAGTCACGGAGGATAATCCACTTAGTAGTTATAATTGAGCATATATAGAATTTAAAGTATTGAAAACATTTTAAGAAATAAGAGACGTTTGCCAAAGGTAAGAAAAATATTGCTTATAATTTTAGAGTTGCAGATGGAATCACGAGCCAGAATATAAACAATGTTTTCGTCAGTGATAGTAAAGAAATCATATCATTGTATTGGATACAGTAAAACATCTACATTATGCCGGATCCGGAGTGAATGCCAGATAATAGACCACAAATAGAAAGGCAACGGAATCTGATTAAGTTATTTGTGAATAAGATATGGCTTTGTTGTCTGCCGTGCACTATTCAACAAGCCAACAAGTACTGGCTTATGCAAATCAACCGTTTATTTGTTATTTGGAAAAAATATTGACAGTGAATTGTATTGTATTGCTGCCTGCTATCACCTACACACTGCTATTTTTGTTTTATAAAAAGCAAGTGGCAAACGAGCTTACAGCCCACCTGATGGCAAGTGACTACCACCACGGTGCCATGCCTTACCTGCAAGCCTGCAACCAACATCGAACAAAAGAGGCTACGGATGTGTTATCACTAGCCCTTAATTATGTTAGCTCGTATACCCTCGCAACACGTCACTACACTCACTGTTTGGAGGCACAGAAGGGACCCACCCAACAGGTCTCCTAGACTGAAAAGAGTCTTAAAACCTAGCATATGTTGTTACCTTTGACACTAAAGACAAATGTGAAAGAAAAACATGGTTACTACTTATAACGTATTATAATTTATAATTAAATATGTAGTAGTTATAACATAATATCAATATGTAGCCCAATCCTACTTTAGTGCAAGAATATATATTATCCTATGTTTTGTTGTACTTGTACTTATAAAAAATACTTTATTATTTTTATTTCATATATACGTTTACGTCTATATAAAATAAAAATAATAAAGTATAAGCATACGTCTTGACTGTGTAGAAAATGTGTGGAAAATGCAAGGGTTACCTTGTCGAGGTATGGCCACACGCCAGTGAGCACGATACTGAAGCCCAGGGACATCTGAAACATGGTGAAGTAGATAACGTAGACGCTGCGCCAGCGCTGACGGCGCTCCAGCGGCGTCTCGAGGGCGTCCTCATCTTGTATCTCCCGGCCAACCGTGTCCTCGCGCCCTTCTTTACTAACACATCTCTTCAACCACTCCATTTGTTTGCTTCGCTATCTGCACACTACACTTGTATTGTTATAAACGCTAGTTTCGTCTAGCAACATGATACAAATGATTCACATCACAAACGAAAGTAAACAAAGAAGCGAACGCGGCGAGTTGCGTCGACGCGTACTTCCCCCGCGCTTCGCTTGGTCGAACTGATGACTGATATACGAGTAAATATATAATACTTTGTGGGACTGATTGGGTGAAGGTGATTCGTATTCGGAGCTTAAGATTTCGCTGGCGTGCTGGCGCGGCTTCCCTCTCTATCTACGTCATGTATGACGACAACAAACAATAGCAAATGATAGAGCCCCTGGTATAATATATTGTTTCATAATCCTAATGTTTTTTTTCCTTGTCATATAAACACAAACTTGATTGCTTATTCCCTAGAGCCAAGAGAAAAATATAAATTTTTTATCTATTAAGAAAAATAATGTTCCATGTAAAAGCAGAAACGAGAAACCGTATATATTTTATCGTCCCTATTTTTTCTACTAAATGTAGGATATTTTTTCTAGTATATGCAATGCGATATTATTTTGAAGTTCGCTAACAATGCTAACATGCATTTAACGGCGAATATTTCCTTGCCTTAAAATCGTTTCAGACATGAGAGGAGACGCCTGTGCCCAGCAGAGGGACAGCAGTCCACCTGATGGTAAGTGATGCTGTGGCCAATAGACATCTACATTTATCCTCGATTAAAAATCAAAACGCAGATGTGTTATCACTCCTGAGGACTAAGATGGAATGCCTCGTTTTCAGTAAAAAAGGGTCTCCGGAGCTCAACACTCAGTTTAGGAACAAGAATTCATTCGACGATATAATTGGATAATGATTTTGTGAATAAAAATTCGTATATAATGGAATTGCAAAACTTTTATAACTTAATTTATTGAATTTTATCATCATAATCATCAGATGATTGTCACCAGATAATTAAATATATTGTTTTTAAACTGTACGCGCAATAACAATTATTTTATTACATTTACTGAATGTAGTTAAGTATTATTAAATCATACCTTACCCCGCCTTATTAGTAGGTACATTAGTACTATTAGCTCAGAAATGTACCTAGAAACTATTTCTTGTGCAATATTAACTAAATCTTTGTGTTGTAAAAATAATCCAGGAAGAGACACATTGATCCCCTACTTCACAATCATACTAATTAAGGTAAAAATGTGACGTAATTAGGACGATAGTACACAAAATCGTAAACTTACGATTTCATTGACAAAAAAATTGTAATATATGGTTGTGAAATAGGGAATCGATGCGTCAGTTCCCAGATTATTTTTATAACCCAAAGATTTAGTTAAGATTGCACAAGATATAGTCGAATTGTAGAAGTCGGTAGGCGTGGCAAAATACTAATATCCGCCACTGATTATAACGATATTTATAATAAACTTTAAGCATCTTTCACTTATTATTAACTTATTCTTCATAAATCATGTAAAATATTGTATAATCCCAAAAATCAAAGGATGTTTAAAAAAAAGATGATTGCTGACCACTGATAAAAAATATTGTGTAGCATACCGACCGACTGACACAACAAGATGTAAGATTCTTAAATAATATAATACATATACGTTTAATGTTCTGTGCCAATATCCAGCCAGATCACTTATGGAATCAACTCGGTGTCTTTCTGTTTATCTCTCAGAGACTTTTGTCTCAGAAAGTCCATGCCTCTGAAAGTATATATAACACTAAAAATGTGAAATATAATTGATATTATAGAAAATAAGGTATAGATTGGACCAGTAATAGATTTATTATAATACTAGGTACTGACCTGGGGCATCACTGTAGGTAGGGTAACTTCTGATATAAAATTATACGTTGTATTACGAAATGAAATGTATGTTACAAGTTAATCAAAATGTAAATAAATCTCTCGTTATTTATATACAAATGCACTAAATCAGTGATTCTCAAAGTGGTCTATATCGACCCCTAGGGGTCTATGACCACCTGCAAGGGGTCTACGTCAGCGAAAAAAAAATTTGGGGGTCCATGAAATGAAAATGGGGATCCACGATAGTGGATCTCAACCCACAATCTTATAATATCAAAACATATACATTATTTATAAAAGTACCTATGAAGTAAAAAAATATTATAAGTGTTTATAAAATTGTGTAAGTTGTAGGATGTTGGTATTCGCTTTGTGGTCGCAATACATTTTGAACTTGTAAAAACCTGAGAGTCGCAGTCTCAGAGCTTCGCTACCTTGCACTGACTTGTTCAATTCGTCACTCTATAAATACGAATGTGGGACAAATACGTTTATTCGTTTCCTGAATCTTAAAAAAGAAAGTGCTAAGAAAATATTTAAAAAAATATAAACAGATAGTGTATCACACAAATTATAGTGAGTCAGTGTTATTTTTTTTTTTTTGAGAGTGCTGGAGAAAAGTAAGTACATTATTTTTTATTAAATTTTAGTTTTGTACTCGTAGTTAGCAAAGATAGATAAATTACGCCAATCATAACTTTAGTTATTAGTAGTTTAATATTCAATCATGCAAAATTACACGAGTACTCCTCAATAGTTTCTCTTTGAAAGTTTTAGCAATCGGTATTATAATTACAGTTCATTCTCCGTAATTCGAGCTAATTGTTGCAAGAAAATGTTCGAATTATGCAATGTTTTCAGAAAAATAAAAAAATATTTTTAATATACAGCTGCTGGATTTTCTTATTTAAATAATTTAATTTTGCCCACAGATGACTGATGCCATGTCCGAATCTAAAAAGAAATATACACAGTACAGTGTCGATTATTTGAAATTTGGCTTCATTCCATCATTGCCGGACAAACAATTGCCTATGTGCCTTTTATGCAACAAAGTTTTGGGCAATGACGTTATGAAACCATCTAAACTGCAGGATCATCTGAGAAGATGCCACCCTGATAAAACAGAGAAAGATTTGAAATACTTTCAAACACTCAAAGATAAACTTCAGAAGAGACCTACACTGGACAGAATGTTCGCTTCGACGTCACAAAGAAATGATGATGGTTTGCGGGCGTCTTACAATATCTCGTTACTTATAGCAAAATCCGAAAAATCGCATACTATCGGAAAGAAGTTAATTTTGCCAGCCGTTGAAGAGGTTTTAAAAACAGTTTTACACAAACCTGCATCTGATGTCATTAAAAGAATTCCCTTAAGCAACAATACTGTTGAAAGACGTATTGATGAAATGAGTTCTGATATTGAAAGCTTCTTATGTAATTATTTGCAAACGACCCATTTCTCTATACAACTGGACGAGTCAACTTTACCTGATAATGCAGCGTTATTATTGGCATATGTTCGTTTTATTATGAATCAAGAAATCTACGAAGAACTGCTCTTCACAAGAACTTTGATAACCGACACTAAAGGTGAATCAATATTTCATGTTTTGAAGGATTACTTCATTGAAAAAGCAATTCCTTTATCAAATATAATATCAGTAGCTACAGATGGAGCACCTGCCATGGTTGGACGTTATCGTGAATTTATAAGCTATTTTAAAACAAAATGTGTCAGTTAGCAATATCCTAAACCCCTTTTTTTTTTTTTTTTTTTTAATTTATAATTTATAAATTTTTTTTTATATTTTTTTTTTTATAATAAAAAAAAAAAAAAAGAAAAAAAAAAATCCAAAAAAAAACTCAAAAAAAAAAACATTGCGTCATCCATCGACAACATTTAGTTGCTGAAAATTTGTCGCGGAATTCTGGGGGTAGGTTGTTTATAAGTCTTGGAACAATGTAATCTGCCGTTCGTTCCCCGTACATGTTGTTTGGACGGCTCGTCTGCAGCTTGCGGCTGCTTACGGCGCGCGTACACACGGGGTGCTTGATTTCTAATATTAAGTCTTCATTAAAAAAGTGTTTTTTAGTAGTATATATTTGACTTGCGTATGAACTGGTAATATATTACAGTGCTTGAAGAGCATACTATCATCATTATTGTAATAGTGGTGGTATGCGGTTCACTATTAACAGACTTCGAGTGGTTTTGAGGTGGAGAAATGAAACTACTAAAGCCGAATGGAGTATGAATGTTGTAGCAGCCAGATTAATCAAACCTAAACGGGAATAAATAATATATACTCCGCTGCTACCATAACGCGGAAGGCGAGAATAAATAAAAAAAACACTTTATTTCCTAATTATTCTTGGCTACTGAGATACTGCGGACTGTATATAGATAATTTGACGTTCTTATAAAGAAACAAGAAGCAGCCGCAAATATCATTCAGCGCCACACCGACTTCACACGCCGCTATCGTCACGTATCCGTCGACCAATGGTGAGCCGTTTCTTCAACGCCGCAGTTCGTTTCCTCTTGCTGTTCCGGAGCTGTATTCCACACCGCCGCCGCCCGCCGACTACGCGTGCGCACCGATCTGCATGTCTTATATAGCCCGGTCCAGCGACGTAGCTTCGTGAACAACAAACAAGTCTCACGCCGTGAAACGAAACGTAGATAATTGTATATTTTAAATAGTTTTCATTGGTCATAAAATAAGCAATATAATTGGCTAGACAAAATATTAATTGTTACCATTGGCAAATCAATAGTGAGCCAGCCATATAAATATCGGCAAGGTTGATGAAAAATATATTCCATTCCGAATCCCATTCGACAGTACATTCATAAACATAAACAGTAGTTTCATTTCTCCACCTTAAAGAAAACCACTCGGAGTCTGTTAATAGTGGACAGTTCGTCACCACTATTACAGTGGTGACCCCGTACGAACACCGAGGGGGAACATCCGCTACGAACACCAAGAAGGAACACCCTGCGACGTACCACTACTATTGCACGAACACCGCGAAGGAAACCCGTACGAACACCGAGAAGGAAGACTTCAGTTTATATAAAATCAGTGTAATCAAGCCGTCATTATGGAGCAGGAGGCAAACACATATACATCAAACCCGGTAAAGGAACCAGAAATCGCCGGTATATCTCTATCGTTAAGAATACCACCGTTTTGGAGAGACAAACCACGACTTTGGTTCGTCAGTTTTGAAGCCGCAACGAATGGTTTAAAGAAGAGCCAAGCGCAATTAGCACAGATGGTGATAGCCCAACTTGAGAAACAAGACATCGAACAAATTGCGGACCTGTTGTACAACCCACCAGCAGTCGACCAGTATAATTCACTGAAGGATCGTCTGATCTCCGCATATGAAGAATCCGACAGTCGACAGCTACAAAAACTTCTATCAGAAATAGAACTTGGAGACCAGAAACCCACACAACTCCTACGCAAAATGCGTACTTTGGCGCGAGATAAAGTTCCGGATTCAACACTACGGCTAATGTGGGTAAACCACCTACCACCACATATTCGATCGGTAATAGCAGTCAGCGAAACATTCAGCACGCAGACGAAGCTCGACGAACTGGCACTCCTGGCGGACAAGATGATCGAAAACAGCAGTAGCTCACACATATCGATCATCGAAGGCACTTCAACAAAGGCCAATGATACCCAGTTTCTTCTCGAAGAAATTCGGAAGCTATCATTCGAAGTCGCCGCGCTCAAAGCTTCCCAGCATCATACCTTTTACCAGCAACAGTACAACCAGCGCAATCAGCAACACCGAAGATCACCTTTTCGTCGCAACCGCTCTGCAAGTAGAAGTCGAATAAGCTCAACATCAAGATCCCCTTACTGCATCATCGACGTTTCGGGGTCGAGGCAAGAAAATGCACAGCACCGTGTACATTCAAAAATGAAAATACGAATACGGAAAACTAACTAGTACGCTCGATGCGACGGGATCCAGCGTAACAGCAAAGTCCTACCGTCTTTTCGTCACCGATAAAAAAAGCAAGCTCACTTTCCTTATCGACACCGGAGCAAATATCTCAGTGTTACCGCCGAAGCAAGGACAGAAGTTGAAGCCACTAGATTTTCAACTCTATGCAGCAAACAATACGGTTATTCCTACATATGGAGAAAAAACAATGGAACTTGATTTTAATCTACGCCGACCATTCAAATGGAGATTTATCGTCGCTAAAGTCAGCAAACCAATCATCGGTGCTGATTTTCTTCAACATCACCAGTTGGTCGTCGACATCAAAAATAGAAGAATCATCGACGGGAATCCTAATTATTCTTGGCTACTGAGATACTGCGGACTGTATATAGATAATTTGACGTTCTTATAAAGAAACAAGAACCAGCCGCAAATATCATTCAGCGCCACACCGACTTCACACGCCGCTATCGTCACGTATCCGTCGACCAATGGTGAGCCGTTTCTTCAACGCCGCAGTTCGTTTCCTCTTGCTGTTCCGGAGCTGTATTCCACACCGCCGCCGCCCGCCGACTACGCGTGCGCACCGATCTGCATGTCTTATATAGCCCGGTCCAGCGACGTAGCTTCGTGAACAACAAACAAGTCTCACGCCGGGAAACGAAACGTAGATAATTGTATATTTTAAATAGTTTTCATTGGTCATAAAATAAGCAATATAATTGGCTAGGCAAAATATTAATTGTTACCATTGGCAAATCAATAGTGAGCCAGCCATATAAATATCGGCAAGGTTGATGCAAAATATATTCCATTCCGAATCCCATTCGACAGTACATTCATAAACATAAACAGTAGTTTCATTTCTCCACCTTAAAGAAAACCACTCGGAGTCTGTTAATAGTGGACAGTTCGTCACCACTATTACAATGTAGAATGTGGAATGGAATATATTTGCGTCAACCTTGCCTATATTTATATGGCCGGCTACGTTGTTGGTTTACCAATGGTAACAATTTTTATTTTCCCTAGCCAATTATAATGCTTATATTATGACCAATGAAGATTAACCAAAATACACAACTATATAACGAAACGTACATAACGTTTCGTTTTCTGGCGTGACCGTGAGACTCGTGTTATCTTCACGGAGCTACGTCGCTGGATCGGGCTATAAAAGTCATGCAGGTCGGCGCGAGAGGCGGCGGCGTGGGACACAACTCCGGGACAGCAAGATGAAGCGAGCTGCGGCATTGAAGAAACGGCTCACAATTGGTCGACGGATACGTGACGATAGCGGTGTGTGAAGACGATGCGGCGCTGAATGATATTTGCGGCTGCTTCTTGTTTCTTTATAAGAACGTTAAATATATACGTCAAATTATCGATATACAGTCCGCAATATCTTAGTGGCCGAGGATAGTTAGGAAATAAATGTTTTTTATTTTCGCCTTCTGTGTGTGGTAGCAGCGGAGTATATATTATTTATTCTCGTTTAGGGTTGGTTAGCCTGGCTGCTACATTATGAAATTGACGTCGAATTTGGCTGTTACAATGTTTTTAAGGATTCTTATGTGGAGGTTATATATTTTGTTTAAATAAGTATTATATGTACGACCATAGCTACCTAAACCATACTGTATATACGATTCTGCTAGAGAGTTATATAACATCATCTTAACTGGGAACGGAATTCTGTTCTTCAGTATTATAATATTAGCTAAGAATTGTATTAATTTGCTACAAACATACTCGATGTGGTTATGCCAAGTAAACTTACTATCGATCTGCATACCGAGATATGTCTGGGTATTGACGAGATCTATAGAGGGGCAACTACATGTGTTTTTACAAGAGGAGTGAAGGCAACTATGATTGTGAGCAACTATGTACTTGGATAAAGTACACTTGATATAAAGAGACTTTATGTGTAACAGCTTGGTTTTGGTGGAGTTCAGAACCAATCCGGCGTCATGACACCATTTTGCAAGCATATTAAAGTCAGACTGTAACAATTCACATGCTATATCAGGGACTTTATCGGCGACTAACAAACTTGTGTCATCTGCAAACTGGTAGCATGAACAGTGATTTATGTAAAAGCGCATGTCGTTTACATACGACAGAAAATGGAGGGGGCCAAGCACAGATCCCTGTGCTCTGCCTTTAGTTACAGTCACTGGGTCGCTGTGTGTGTCATTTATTCTCACAGAGAATTTCCTATTTTTAAGATAATTTGTACACCATCGCAGAAGAGGTGCCCGTATTCCAACTTCGTCCAACTTAGTGATACTTTTTTGTTAATGATCAAGAGTGTCGAATGCTCGTGAAAAGTCTATAAATAGGACGAGTACATGTTTTTTGTTATTAAGATACTCGTTAATTTCATCTATTAACTTCATCAAGAGATCATTTGTACCCTTCCCAGATTGAAAACCATACTGATTTTGATATATTACATCGTGCGTATTGTAGAATTTATAAATTTGTACACACACATACTTTTCTACTATTTTATCTATTGAAGATAATAAAGTGATTGGTCGATAGTTCAGGAAATTATCCCGTCTTCCTTTCTTGTATATTGGTCTAACACATCCTATCTTTAGTTCGTCGGGATAAATGCCAGTTTCAACACTTGTATTGATTAGGTTGGCAATGGCCGTGGCCCCTTCTGTGTCCATACATTTTATATCAGAAACCCCAATATTATCATAGCTTGGTGCATTATTAGAGCTAAGTTTTTTGATTATTTTATTAACCTTGTCACGGGTTGCTTTTTTAAAGTATATACTAGAATTATTTGGCCGAAAATACTTACTGGGACTTAACAAATTCAAATTACAGGTTTGGATTATGTTTTTTACAGCCTTATCAAATCCTATCGCAAAGTTATTTACAATATCTTTGGTCGTCTGCCCTTCAAATGCTGTTAAAACTGCCGCATCCACTGACGATGTTACACGCCCAAGCATTTTGTTGATTGTTTGCTAAACTTTTCTTGTATTTTTGAAATTCTGTTGAATGTTTTTAATATAGTATCTATTTCGTTTATTCTCTAATAGTTTATGAACTTTATTTCTTATTGTATTGTATTCTAATCTTAATTTTGAATCGAGTGGATTTCGTTTCCAAGAACAGAACGGTTTTTCGCATAATCGATTTACGTTATCATCGATCCATGGTGGTTTATATTGATTAGTAATATTATGTTTGTTAAACTTATGTTTAATTACACTTGTAGCTGCTTTTTTAACACTTTGAAAAGATCGTTTAATGAAGTTAAAGATCTCAACAGTAGAGTTTGTTTGAAGCCATTTCACGTTTTTTAATTCTTTGTAAAGGATATCATAATCAATGACTTGTTTAAAAACCTGATGATAAGTGACTACCGCCGCCTATGAACAACTGCTACACCCTGATGGATTTGCATGTGCACTGCCGGCCTTTTTAATAGCAGTAAACTCGTTTCTTAAAGGTCCCTAAATAGCATTGATTTCAAAAAATTGCCGGTGGTAAACGATTGCACAAAGAAGTCGTTCGAGAAAGGAAGCTCCTACTTTTATGTGGTAGAACCGCGCTGCAGCTTCATCATGGTAGTAGCACAAATGATTCAGCTCAACCAGAGAAGACCTACACTCTTGCTTTCAGATGCGTTGCCGGCCTTTAAAAAAGAGTAGGCTCTTTTCTGATGGTCCCTTGAAGGTGATATACGGAATTACAAATAAATTAAAAATATATAAGACTAAAAATTTCCACTGACGTGATCAATTAATTTGCGAGCATTTTGATGATTCAGACAGAAAACCACGACCTTTATCAGGTACAATAACTAAGTGAAGAAACTACTTACCCACATCCCACACCATTCAAGCGTAGATGTAGATACATATAGCGGAGCGGCACGTTCAGCGAGCGTGACAAACACTCTTATGCAATCAGATCCAGGTTCAGGATCCGATTGCACCGAAGTTAACATTATACACCATTTAATTTGCAGTTATTCTTAACTGGTATTTATTATTCACCTTCTAATTGGTATTGTCCGCTTTAGAGTGCCATACCGGTCAAATGACGACAAATGACAAGGTCGTAGAAACTGTCCATTTGTTCGAAGCTAATTTTTGCAAGACCCATCGCTGCCGCTGCTAAGCTATCGCTGTTTTTAACAGTTTTCTGTTTTAGCTAGGAGGCAATAAATATAACACAGTCAGCGACTCTATACAACGCCATTAATAAAAGGAAAAAAATTCATCACCTTTACTACCATAATTACACACACACACACACACACACACACACACACACACACGCGCACGCACGTACGCACGCACGCACGCACGCACTCACGCACGCAAGCACGCACCCACGCACGCACGCACGCACGCACACACACACACACAAACACACACACACACACACACACACACACACACACACACACACACACACACACACACACACACTGCAGTGATGATTCGATCTGAATTCCCAGAAAATCTAAGTTTAGCGAGGACCTTTCAGTTGCCGCTAACCATTTTTCGATCGGACACACCGTTAAACCGTTATGGTATGTTTTTACACACACACACACACGCGTGTGTGTGTGTGTGATATATATAATCGGAATCTCGGAAACGGCTACAACGATTTTCATGAAATTTTGTGTCCCGGGAGTTTCGGGGGCAATAAATCGATCTAGCTAGGGGAATAAAAGAACTGCTACAATATAAGAAGGTAAATTTTGACATATCACTAACGATCGTAATAGCTCAGGTGGGATATCGGTCGGGCGTGATATCGGAGTTCCGTGGTTCGCGTCCTGTCTCTAGTCCAGCTTTTTTCCTTTTTCTTCAAGTTCCCTTCTTTTGTGAGAAAATCTATTATTTCAAGCCCTTTTTTTAGTATTTTTTAAAAATACGAAAATTTTAATAAAACTAATTGATTTTTTTATTCAAATAACCAGTTCAGTTTTTTCTATTCTGTCAATAAGATCAAAAATATTATTTATGTTTCATCAGTATGTAATTTATAAATGTAATTTCAAAAAAAAAACGAGCAAAGCTCGGTCATCCGGGTACACACACATATATATATATATATATATATATATATATATATATACACCTTTGGCGTGAATATTATTATTACTTTTTAATTTGATAGTTAATTATTTTGTAAAGATCATGTGAATAGTAATATAAGTGCTATGAAAGAGTGGAGTCTCCTAACACAAGTTTTTATACTTAAAGGGAGACCCTATCCCCGGTTTTAATTTATGTATGATCATTTACTGAATAAACTATTTTTATTTATTATTCATTATTATTATTAAACCAATAATAGAAAAATTACTACTTTTAGTAATACTTTATTATAAAATCTAAACAAAAAATAAAAACCTATTCGGCAGTCAAACCCCAATGGGATATTGAACTTATAGATAGCTAAAGTTGTGGCGTACATCACTACACTGCAGTACTTTCGGTTGCAGTGATACCAGTAAATTTTACGAAAATAGCATACATTTTCTACGAAGTGGGAAGTTTCGATTCAGCTTATTTGGCCTTTATTTTGTATAATATTTTGATAATTATACTAGTTACTGATTATATTAAATTATAATATATTCGGAATCGTGATGAGGTCGAGCTGAAGCTGAGGCTGAGCTGAATATTTAAATCATTTGGCAAAATCCACTACACATCTTAATGTAATGATTATTATTCATCACAAACTGATTTAGTTGATATGAAATAATTTTTTGTTAGTAAATTTATTTTGTGTAGTATATATTTATATTTATTTTAAAATCGCTTACTTTTCACTTCATTGACTCTGCTAGCGACACTTGGTATCTTACGATAATATTCATAAAATACGACTTTTAATAATCATTAAAAGAATAACAAAAATTATGTTAAAAGTATTCAGAGATGAAAAGTCACGTTGTCCTTTTGTGGATTTAACGGTTTTGATTGTTTTTTTTTTATGAAAAAACACTGCAATTCGGCATTTTTGTCGGAGCTCAATTGACCGGCACGATCACTTGAGTAATGACAGAAACAAAGTAAAGGGCCAACCTCCAGAAGTGGGGGAGGGAGGTGGTAAATGCTCTAAAGTTTACCACGGCTACGTAGTTATGTGGGGCTTACTGTGACAACCTAAGTGCCTACCCACTAAACACCAACTGGGCCTGGCTTTAGCCTTTTTTTTTTTTTTTTTTTTTTGCGGATGGAAAATCATCTAATGACCCCTTTCGCTCTGGGTGGAGCGTAAGGGAGTGTCAGACTTTTACTGACTAAAAACCATCCGTGTTCCTTCAGTGCCCTTACGTTCCGGAGCCGCGGTATCTCTTTCGAACAGCCCGCAGCCCCGGCAGGCGTCGGCCCTTGCGGGCCCCTTCACGCTGCTGACAGCTCTTTGAGGCGCGCGTGGAACAAAACGCGCCGTCGACACGGCCTGTCGTCATTAGACGGACGGACGACGAGCCACGACGTAGCCCCCGACGCCCGGGGCGTCTCCCGCGGCGGCCGGGGAGGAAAGCTGCTGCTCTCTCCTTCTCCCGCTCCGCCACCTCCTTCGCTAGCATCACTGCTTCGCAGAAAGTGGTGACGGCATCCCATTCCGTCTCGCTCCGGACCATGGCTTCGACCAGGGCCGGACGCGAGAGGTCGCCGCCGCCTATCGCCGCTACGAGGACACGGCGGTGCTCCGCCCAAGCAGGGCACACCTCCACGGTGTGTTCCACCGTGTCCTCCGGTCCATCCTCGCAGTGGGAGCACCCGGGCGTTTCCTCCCGCCCGATTCGGTGCAGGAACCTCCCAAACACACCGTGTCCGGTGAGGACCTGCGTCAGACGGAAGGTGAGGATGCCGTGGCGTCTCTCAAGCCACTCCTCAAAGAGGGGTCTTATCGCCGCTATAGTGGCGTGCCCAGCACGGGGTTGCGACAGTCGCTGTCTCCATGTCGCCATGAGATCGTGCCGGAAGTCTGTCCGCTGCGCGACAACTTGCCGCGGCAGCGGGGTTTCCCCACGGCATAGTGCCTCCGCACGCCATTCGTGCAGGCGCGCGAGGACTATCGCCTCCAGATCCCATGGCGGCAATCCGGCAAGGAGGCTCGCCGCCTCGCGGGAGATCGTGCGGTAGCCGCGAACCATGTTCACGGCTATCACCCTTTGGGGCGCGTTCAAGTGGTGGACGGCAAGCCGCGCCAAACCACGCGCCCACACCGGGGCCCCGTAAAGGGCCATGGACCGCACGATCCCCGCGTAGAGCCTCCGGCAGGAGGCGTTTGGCCCTCCCAGGTTCGGCAGGAGCCGCCTGAAGGCAGCCGCGGTCCGTTCCAGTTTGGGAGCCAAACGTCGGAAATGCTCAACGAAGTTCCATCGGCCGTCGAGGACGAGTCCTAGGTACTTCAGCGTCGACTCGACGTCGATGGATACCCCTCCTACCATCACTGAGGATCCCGGTGGTGGCCTGTTCCGAGGACCATGGAAGTGCATGGCCTCGGACTTGTGCAGAGCCACCTCGAGACCCAGTTGCCGAATCCTCTCAACGACTATCGCAACCCCGCGTGTCATATTTTCCGCCGCCGCCTCGTACGACCCCCCTTGTGCCAGTACCAGCGTGTCGTCAGCGTAGCAAACTACGCTGACGCCGGTAGGGAGGTCGGCGCGCAGCACCCAGTCGTAACCGATGTTCCACAGAGGTGGCCCCAGAACCGAACCCTGTGGGACACCGCACGACATCTCTCGCCGGTTCCACTCACCGTTGCGACCGGGGTAGATGACGGCCCTGTCCGTCAGGTAGTCCCCGACTATACGACGGAGATAGGTCGGCACCCGGTGATACCGGAGTGCCTCCCTAATGCAGCTCCAGGGCATGGAGTTGAAGGCGTTGGCGATGTCGAGAGACACCGCCAAGACAACCCCCCTCTGGCCACTGCATCCCCCGTCGTGAGGGCTCTCACGCGCATGATGGCGTCCACCGTAGAGCGCCCCTTGCGGAAACCAAACTGGTGTTCCGCAAGATCCGGCCCCGTCTCCGCAAGGTGCTTGGCGAGGCGGTTTGCAATGACTCTTTCAAAGAGCTTGCCCACCTCGTCGAGCAGCACCACGGGCCGGTATGCGGACGGAGAGTCCGCAGGGCGCCCCGGCTTCCGAATGAGGACCAGCTTCCCCGTCTTCCAACAAAGCGGGAATTGGCCTCTCTCCAAGCATGCGTTTAGGAGCCCCTCCAGTCGGGGCCCGAGAGCCTCCGAGGCCAGGACCCAGGCTTTGCCAGGCAAGCCATCGGGTCCTGGGGCGGTATTCCTGGCCTTGAGCCTACGTACCGCCACTCTCAGGTCTACCCCGGTCCCTTCCGGGATGTCGTCGTCGTCGTCCTGGTGGTCCGCTTCCGGCACCGCAGGTGGCGGAGCTATAGGCGGGGGCGGATTTTCCCGTCGCGCAGGGAACAGAGCGCTCACCACGTCCTCCACGAGCTGGGGCCGGAGACTTTGCGTCAGCGGGGGGGCCCAGGTGCGGAGTTTATCCCGCACCATCTTGTAAGGGCGCCCCCACGGATCTCTGTTGAGAGTCTCCAGCATCTCCTCACGGGCCCGATCCCGGGCCCGCAGGACAGCCTCGCGGAGGGCGTTCTTCGCCGCTCTGTATCCCTCGTACAGCTCCGCCTCAATGGCTGCCGCATTCGGTGGACGAATGCGGAGCCTGCGATGCCTGGTGTACAGGTGCCGCGCGGCGACACACGCCTCGCGCAGAGACGTCAGCTCACGTGACCACCAATACACCTGACGCCGGGCGCTTCCTGGCCGGACGCGGGGCATTGCCACGTCACATATTTCGGACATGGCCTCCTGGAACCACACTACCTCATCATTGACGTCGGCAGGCCTGTCCGGTGATGACACCCAGGCCTGCACGATCGAGGCTTCCAGGAGGAGCTCCCGATCCAGCTGCTTCAGCGCCCAACGCGG